CAAATCACCACATCCAAATGGGCAGATGAATGTTGTTTATCGTAATAGTCCGACTCGCTCGGGAAAATCTGGTTCTTTGAGAAGTCGACCACCGACAACCGATTTGCATAGTAGTGACATTAAACAAGACTCTGACAGTGAACGTAACAATGCGTCGCGCAATCGAGTCGAAATAACTCAGGATTCAGCACCGTTCAAGGCTGATAATCGTAGTCCAGTTGATGGAAACAAATCACCAGCGTTCGATCGGCAAGAAAACATCACGGATCGTCAAAGTGCAGTTCGATTGGAAATAACTGATTCTTTCACCGATCAGTCGCCTTCAACTGAGTTACATAATGCAGATGTTAAACAAGACTATGATACTGGACACCATGATAACGATACCTCGAGCGAAATAAGTGGCAGACCCCAAGATCCAGTTTCGGACTGGGGTGATGATCCATCGAATGACATGATTGATAGATCCCGGGATCCAGTATCGGACAAAGCTGACGATGCGTCGAGTGACATGATTGATAGACCCCACGATCCAGTTTCGACCTGGGATGAGGATCCGTCGGGCGACCTGATTGACAGAGCTCAAGATTTAGTATCGGATAAAGTTGACTATGCCTCGAGTGACATGATTGATAGACCCCAAGATTCAGTATCGGACAAAGCTGACGATGCCTCGAGTGACATGGGTGATAGAGCTCACGATCCAGCATCGGACAGGGCTGATGATGCGTCCAGCAAGATTGCACATGTGTCCACTTAACATCGTGGTGCTACGATGTCAGATATATACATGTTTCATGCAAACAGTTTAGCTTTACCTAATCCCGATTTTTATGCACTGCTTGAGACATGCTCTTGAATGAGAATGAGTTTTTCAATTTTTCTGTAACTATTCAAATACATTTTATTCAAATGTTGGTGCGCTTAAACTATATTCTGTAATAGCGAACTGTTACACGTAGTACAGAAATGTCAATAATGGTGGAATGTCAGTAATGGAGAAGAGCGCTCATTCTGGAATAGCTTTTGAGCTCTTTTCATAGTGGACTGATTAACGGACAGATTCTCATATCTCCATGTAGTTTTCCACATACAGGAAGTTTCTGTAGCAATGCCTCTGGTTAGTGGTCAAACATAGCAAGGTACTATTGGGTTTTTTCCTTGTAAAAATTTTCTTTTCAAAGAGAATAGTGAGGATCATAAATACTTAATCGTAGCAACCTAAGACAAAATTGGCTAACTATCACATTTTAATAATTGAAAATACCACAGATCATTATTCACTTTATTTCTGTTGAAGCCTCAATAGTCTGTCAGGATATATGACTCAGCTGTCTGCTTATATGCATATTTCACTCGGTTGTCCTGTTCCGTATCTGATATAGAATTACCCGAATTATCGTGCTGAATTATTTTTTTCTGTCGTTTGGCGGTAATCTGTTGCTTTTCTACTGTCATTCAATCTGCGGATATATTTAAACTTAATTCTGGCTCCCAGGAATGAAGAAGACTCCTCCTTGCGGCTACCGCTTTTGGTATGGGATGCTGTCCAATGGCAGTTTCAATAGCCCGATGTCTTTCATGACAAACTTCTGACATGGCTGCTCGTTTCGTTACTAGTCCCGAACCGCAGCTCTAGACAGAAAGCAGGTCTAGCACAGAGTTCTTTCGTCCAATTGCTTGAGCTGACATACAGACTCACTCACATGTACTAGCTTTACGGAAAGCTACGCGAACTAGCCAGCGGAGGTGTATTATACGTCACCACGTAGTAAGTATGGTGTCATATGGGTGATCCAACCCAAGTATGAAATTTCAGAAGAAATACGCTACCTGCTCTTGCTGAAGATGCTCCCGCTCGCTTGACTGCAGCAAGCTAAAAGAGTAAAATTTAGCGGGTGTAGCTAGTTACAGTGGGACAAATCCGCTAACCCGCTTCAGTACTAGTTGCAGCAGGTATATATATATAGAATAAAAACACTAAAGGAAAATAAAAGAAAAGGAAAAGAAGTTCCTGTAGAGGTTCGAACTCTGTATATAACGATCAATAATCTTCTCCGTATGCCGCTGTATCGCAGGAACACAACTAAAAATATTTTTTTTCTTATCCTGTTCTGATGAACTCAATTTGAAGAAGTTTAATTAGATTAGTATAATTAGGATTATTCATTATGAAGGAAGCATTTTTCAGAGTTGAACATAGAGACAACAGAATGTAAAATTTAATTTTCAACACTTTTCTCTGTTAATACAATGTTTGACAACTCTTTCTTCATACTGCAAAATCAAAAATAATAAAGAATAATGCATTTTTACCCTACCTTAGAGAATTAGGTGCTTTTGCTGCACCACACCAATTTGATAAAAATAAGATGGCATATGCAGAAATTATCGATAAATCCGACAGTGGGTTCCTTGTAATTTTATTTAGACTTATTCTTTGACGCCGACACAATCTATGTGATTGTTATTTAAGTTTTGGTTCTTTGATTGGCGCCTTTTTGTGTCGACGTCAGAGAATAAGTCTAAATAGAATTACAAGGAACCCACTGTCGGATTCACCGGAAAATTTTGCATATACCATCTTATTTTCATCAAGTTTGGTGAAGCGCAGGAAAATAATTCCCTAATGAAGGGAAGCTTTTCCTAAATTTGTGCTAAAAGAAAAAAATATTGGAAATTAAATTTTACATACTCTAGGTTCAACTCTGAGAAATGCATACGACATGACTTAGAGATTCGAGAAAAATGTAAATATGTCAACTTTGCATTTATTATAGTTATTGTAGCACTACAGTGTAGAGGACGTCTGCTAAAATTCTGTTGGTCGATAGAGAAGACAAATAAATATGTTGTTCTTTCAATTACCATTTTGTTTCACATTATTCTTGTATATATAACAATAAATACTTGTACGGTTGCATGTACGGTTGGTTGCGCACTTTCAACAGCTCTGGTACTGTATGTATACTACCGTAGAGCTTACACTGTAGCGTTACAGTAGAATAAAATAAAAATATAAAGTAGAAAATAAAATTTAAGATTTTCTTTCAAATTCCCAAGACTGTTAATGAAGATTCTGATTATTGAATATTAAATTAATCATTTCAGAATTCTTGATAAGATCTGTTCAAGATTTATCCCGACAGATTCTGATACAAAACTAGTGGAAAATCTGCAGCATTGCTTTTCATCAGAATCTTGACAGATTTTGATAAATCTGCACCAGTTCTTAAAAGATCTGGGGCGAAACTTGAGAAATCTTTAACGATTTATCAAGATTTGCATTCAAGATTTTTCTCCTGGGGTTCAACACATTTATTAAACAAATAATGGGATGTAAACCATTTGAATTGATTATGTTTAGCAGTTAGTTTAAGTACAACGAGTTTACAGTGAAAGAAGGGCGTAGTCTGTCGACGATATGAAAGCAATTTTCTTGATGAAACATTTGTAAAATCAGAACATAATCGCGGCAAGACATTATTAGGAATGACAAGCAAAAGGTTAAGAAAAAGCTAAAATGAGTTGTAGCAAGAGATATCTACATTTTTTTCGAGCGCTTCATTGATGCGGACCGGTGCGAAGATTCTTTTGCGTTCTGTTAGTTTTCTGAATCGGTCGCTGTCGCACAGACGGCTACATTGAAATCAGCATCGGTACAACCAAAAAACAAAATGCAAGAAAACCGGTACATCGATTTACATGTATAGTGCAGCCCCCTTAGCAAAATCCTGGCTCCGGACCTGATTGGTACGAACAAAAACATATATATATATATATGACTAGTAATCAAAAGATGAAAAGAATGAATCGGAGAATTGAATAGAAGGCAGTAGCTTCTTCCATTTTTCGCTAGTGTTACTCTGTCTATCCTGACGAGTGTTGTTACCCAATCAATCAATCAATAGGTTTTTTTATTTGAACACGAATATGTCAAGGCTGTTACAAAAAAGGGAAGCAATGCTGCTCAAAACTTAAATGAATGTAACTCCTATGTAAGGAAAAGATTAAAAAAAAAACACCAAGGGAATGTTGCACATAAAAAGAAAAAACTTGAAACGGATAATTACATGTTCTAATTACCGTTGTAAGAACTACATATTTAAATACAGTCTAAGTCTTCGCCTAAATGCTCCTATGGTAAACTGGGATATCACGGATCGCGGCAAGAGGTTCCACTCGATACATGTGCGGGGAAGAAAAGAGTGTTTTGTTGCTTCTAAGCTTGTTTTAGGGATGGTCCACTGGCACCGATTATTCAGCCTATTCGACGTCCTGCTAGTTAAAGGTGTGATCATGTTAAATCTTGAGAGACCGCTGTCTCCTATTATAATTTTATGAAAATGTAACAAACGAAAATATTTTCGTCGTTCAATTAAGTCAGGAAAATTTAATTTGTTCAGTAATAATGAACTGATCGTTTCATACTCATTACAAATTATCCTGGCTGTCACCTTTTGAACAGAGTCTAGTGGATGTACATGCATTTTTGCAGTATCATAAACAACAGAACAATAGTCCATGACTGGTATTATGCACCTTTTAAAAATGTGAAGACGAAGAGAAGATGGTGCGGTGTTAAATGCACGGTGCATTGCGCCTAACATCTGTCTACACTTTTTGGCTACATTAGAAATATGATATTTCCATATTAGATTATGCGATAAAAAAACTAACAACTTAATATTGTTTTTCTTAACCAGAGCCTGTCCTGATAAAAAGAGTGGACTTCCTAAAGTAGAAGGCGGTGTAGCTGTTGAAAAGGGCATAGAAACGCACTTATCGATGTTTAATTTTACTAGCATTTTGTCACACCAGTCAGACATGACACCGCATCCAGGTCATTTTGAGCATTTACCAAATTAGTAAAATCGTGTACAGGGACAAGAAAGAAAACATCGTCGGCAAAAAGACAAACAATTGTTGAAGGGGAAAAAATGCTGGGGAGGTTATATGAACCCAGTTACATTAACGTTCAAGAATGAATTTCAAATAGCACTGTTCAAGTTTATAGTGTATTTTGTAATAAGTTTCATGGTGAAAAATCTGACAAAAACATCCTACACAAATCAAAATCGACTGACGGGGGAAGTACCCCAACTGATAAATCGCTTTTTCAACGAAACCGAGTGGACTATAGGTAGTCGACTATGCTGATTCCGAATATCACCATGAATGCTGCTGCTAGGCCTTCAAAGATCGGTTTTCTGAAAAACCAGTTTTCGAGAAACTCTAAAGAACAACCAAATGCTTTCTTAACGAGGCGTAATTGTAGTCCATAAATTTTGTTGGTAAGCCAATAGTTTTGCTTGCGAATTACCGAGTAAGTCTTTAACTAAATCATAAAACTTTTGATCTGTAAACTAAGAGCGTTTGGTGGCAATTTATCAAGGTCGAAGTAAATTTGAGGCGTTGACATTTAGTTGACATTTATGGTTATTCTTTTAGAAACGAAAGAGACAGATACACAGTGGGCATCCAAGCGGACATTAGGCCGAAAATTCAAATAATTCGTATATCAAATATAAATAGTGTAAAATGTAGCCCTTGAAATTCTCTATCGAATGGTGTATAAATGTCTATTGTGAAAA